ACGTTATATACAAAATATCATGTCTTCATTTTTAATGACAGAAATGAATAAGTAGAGGATCTTTTGATCACAGAAATCCCACTGCCAATTGTATATGACAATTACAGGAAATTAAACTGCAATTTTTTTTAATTAGAGAAGAGTTAGCCTTGTCTCACTGCCAAACCAAATTAAATAAAAAAAAAAAAAAAATCTATGCTAGTTCCACCTATTGGTGGAATTAATCTTAGTTCCACCATCTTAGAACTAGGACTTGGGGAATGTTTGCCATAGTTTTTGTTTACCTTCTTCTCCAGATAAGACTAAACTTTTATTCTTTATGTCTATGAAAAAAATGGCAAGAGTCACCACTCTATTACCTAGTGATTTAGATCACTGGGCATTTTTTCAGGTAACTCTGACAGTCTTTCAGTTTTTCTGCCTGAAGGCAGAGTTCTTTAACCATATGAAAATCCTAGGGTGCCCAGACTGGTATGGAAGGACAGGCTCACTCTGTAAGTGGCCTATAGCAGAGAGGGTTGACCTGTGTCTGCAGCTGAGGCCATGCAGGGACAGTTACAAGTGCAGAAATATTCTTGCCAGTCTTATTTTTTCACTTGGGCCACAAAGTAAAGGCCCAAGATTGGCAACCAATCACCATCTTTTCTTATACCCTCTCTGGAACTCTGAAAGAAGTTTCTCCATCAGTTATAAATGTATGTGCGTGTGTGTGTGTGAAGATGAAGCTAGTGTAGACAAAGAAAATGTATGCCCAGGATGAGTACCAAGAAGAAATGTTCATAAAAGACCCTTAACAATGCAGTTCTCATCCTTACTGTACTATAGGTAAACCATTTCTTAGGAGGCTTTTTTAGTATTATTGATTACTTTTCTTCTTTAGATATTTCAAAATTATATTTTTTAACAGGAAAATACCTACTTTATTTTGACGTTTTTTTTTTCTATAGTGGTTCTTTTTTTCTTTATTTCAATAGGTTTTGGGGGAACAGGTAGTATTTGATTACATGAATAAGTTATTTAGTGGTGACTTCTAAGATTCTGGTGCACCTGTCACCCAAATAGTGTACACTGTATCCAACGTGTAGCCTTTTATCCCTCACGCTCTTCCCACCCTTTTCCTGAGTCCTCAGAGTCCATTGTATTATTCTTTTGTATGACTTTGAGTCCTCATAGCTTAGCTCTTACTTATGAGTGAGAACATACAATGTTTGGTTTTTCATTCCTGCGTTACTTCACTTAAAATAATGTTCTCCAATTCCATGCAAGTTTCTGCAAATGCCATTATGTTGTTCCTTTTTATAGCTGAGTAGTATCCCATGGTATCTGTGATTGTGTGTGTGTGTGTGTGTGTGTATCACATTTTCTTTATCCACTTGTTTATTGATGAGCTTTTGGGCTGGTTACACATTTTTGCAGATGTGACTTGTGATGCTATAAACATGCATGTGCAAGTATCTTTTTCATATAATGACTTATTTTTCCTTCAAGTAGATACTCAGTAGTGGGATTGCTGGATCAAATGGTAGTTCTACTTTTAGGCATCTAAAAGTCCTCTTTAAGGAACATTGCATTCTCCACCAACAGTGAGAATGTGAAACCTCTTAGAAGAAATTTTAAGACCCAAGTATACAAGGGGACTTCAGAAAGTTCATGGAAAAAGCCTACTGTGAAAAAACTATACATGGATTTCAAAAAAAAAATTGTACCAAAATAAACTTGTACTAAGTTATTATGACATGTCTGAACAGAATCTAGTTTGAAGCACTAAGGAAGGATAAGACATCAATTTGAAAAAATAGCCTCTACAGAGGCTATTCTGCTAAAATTGAAGCAAGAACCAACATCAAATTTATGGTGAAGCTTGGATGGAAACATGGTAAAATCATTGTTACTTTACAAAAAGCTTATGGGGACAATGCCTCCAAATAAATCAGCAGTTTACAAACTTACTTTAAGAAGGGATGAAACAGTGTTGAAGCCCTCAATGGCAGATCATCCACATCAATTTGTGAGGAAAAAAATCATTTTATCCATGCCCTCATTGAAGGGGACCAAAGGCTAACAGCAGAAACAATAGTCAATGCCACTGACATCTCAACTGATTCAGCTTACATAATTCTGACTGAAAAATTACAGTTAAGCAATCCACTCAATGGGTGCCAAAACCATTGTGCCCAGATCACCTGCAGACAAGAGCAGAGCTTTCAGTGGAAATTTCAAACAGGTGGGATCAAGATCCTGAAGCATTTCCTTGAAGAATTTTAACAGTAGAAGAACGTGGATTTACCGCTATGATCCTGAAGGCAAAGCACAGTCAGAGCAACGGCTACCAAGAGGTGTGAGTGGCCCAGTCAAAGCACAATTGGGCCAGTCAAGAACAAAGGTCATGGCAATGGTTTTGGGGATGCTCAAGGCATTTCACTCTTGACCTTCTGAGGGATGAAAGAACAGGAACATCTGCTTATTATAAGAGTGGTTTGAGAAGGTTAGCTAAAGCTTTAGCTGAAAAACAACTCACAAAAGCTCCCCACAGTCTTTCTCCACAACGACAATGCTCCTGCTCACTCCTCTTCTCAAAAAAGTTCAATTTTGCAAGAGTTTTGTTGGAAAATAATTAGGTATCTACCTTTTAATCCTGATTTGGCTCCTTCTGACTCCTTTTTGTTTTATAATAAAGAGCACCCATTTTGTTTTGTTTTGTTTTGTTTTTTCAGTTAATAATGGAAAGAAAAAAAAAAAGACCACATTGATGTGGTTATATTCCCAGGACCCTCAGTTTCTTCGGGATGGACTAAATGGCTGGCATCATGGCTTACAAAAGTGTCTTGACCTTGATGCAGCTTATGTTAAGAAATAAAGTTTATATTTTTATTTTATCCCTTAATTTTATTTTTCTGTGAGCTTTTTGAAGTCCCCTTGGACCTTGCTTGAGAGCACAGCTGTCTGCTCATCTCAACTACATTTCACAAGAAGAAAAAATTATAACAGGGTAGGGGTTAGAGGTCTCATACTCTATGTAAGAGACTGCAAGAATTACTCAGTATGACATACTCTGCCTTTGACATATTGACTTGAACTCTCAAGCCAGTCCAGCTTCTCTATCATCACTGCCATTGCCTTAATTCAGGCATTTCAGCCATCCTACTAACGATACAATAGTCTACTGATTGGCCTCCACTTCTACTGTCTCTACAAACCAACCCAGACACTCTACAAACAGTATCCAAAAACATGTACCCCTGCCTTCTATTTTGTGTTATTGTGATATTCCCCTGCTTCACACAATGGCTTCTGTTTTGCCTTCAGAATATAGTCCCTGAATGCCAGGGGTTATGTTCTTGTCTAATGTGGCAGTCCTGGCATCTGCAGCACCTAGATGTACTTGGACCATGATAAGGAAGAAAGGAAGACAGAACAATGATAGATAAGATAAATCCCTTCTAATTAAAAGCTTTTGTAGATCTCTCCCTTGTAACCATGCCCAACCTGGAGCAGACTCTCTCACCTTTGCCCGTGCTTCACTTCTGAAAGGAAGATTTTACTTAGATTGCAATCATTATGTTGAGTGTATATGATGGTAAAACATTCAGGAAGAAATTGAACAATCTAATCAGTCACCCAAATGTTTGTTTTAAAAATTCCAACCTTTGTAAATAACTAGATGCTGGGTTCTGAAGGGCAAAGGAATAGCTTACTGAAACTGATCGTTAAGATACGCATTGTCAGGCACCAAATAATGTCTTCAAAATGTACTCTGCTTTTAGTTTTTTCTCTATTCTACCATTATACATCCGTTTATTATATATATTTAAATAGATGAGTCAAATTGGAAGAATCTACCATGACAGGTACATGCAGTGATCATGCAGTTTAAATGTATTATTTTATTACAGAAAAATCTACCTATTGAAATAGCACTATGTTTCTCATTTTCCTTATCTACTTTCATTGCCGTTGATTTCATGTTTGTAATTCTTCCTTTATCAGATTTAAAAATTTAAACTTTTGGCTGGGCATGGTGGCTCACGCCTGTAATCCCAGCACCTTGGGAGGCTCAGGTGGATGGTTCACGAGGTCAGATTCAACACTAGCCTGGCTGAGATGGTGAAACGCTGTCTTTACTAAAATGCAAAAATTAACTGGGTGTGGTGGTGCATGCCTGTAATCCCAGCTACTTGGGATGCTGAGGCAGAGAATTGCTTGAACCTGGGAGGCTGAGGTTGCAGTTAGCAGAGATCGTGACACTGCACTCCAGCCTGGGTGACAGAGTGAGACTCCGTCTCAAAAAAAAATATATTTTTAACTTTTGCATTTCTATAGATAATCACAGAACTGTGGACTTGGAAAATTATTTTAGCTTTTATTTTCAGCTTTCCAAGTATTTACGTTTAATGAGGTTTACATTTTGTGGAAATAATACACTTTCTAGAAAAGACTAAAATTTTCATATAAGAAAAATACTTTATAAAACATGTTCTATTATCTATTGCTCTTGAAAAACAAAACTGCCCTACAATAAGGTAAAAATGCTTCCCTAGACCCACTTGCATGTATTAATAGAGTACCATTTCTCTGCTTAAGTAGGCTAAATACCATCAGTTCTAGTTATTTCTTTTTCCATGGAGTTAACTTATCAGAAGGTCAAAGTATATGATTCTTAGATGTTTTAGATGACTTGCTATGGACTTTCGTCTTTTAGACATTCTTTGGAATGAATATGAGTAACTACTTCTTAAATGTTCTCTTGTTATTCATAAGTAAAAAATATGCCTTACCCAGACCAAATACTGTATCACAGGACATTTTAGCAAATGGTTTATACCTATTTGCATTGCTAGTTTTAGTTACTTATATTTTTCTTTACAGATTAAAGTAAAATCTGCATATATGTGCTTTTGCTTTATTCATAGAAAATATGAATTTATGAAGAACTTGTACTCAGTAACCTATTCACCACAAATTTCTGCTCAAAATGATTTTCATTTTGTTCCCCAATGTAGGGTAACCACAGTATCCAGGGTTCTCCAGGCCCAACAACTGGTCCTTCAGGGTTAACTCAGTTAACTTCAGAGAGCCTGACGGGGAAAGCTGCAAGGTGGACAAGTAAGGAATATATAAAGAGCGCCTACACAGAAGCAGGAGCCACAGAAAGCCAGGATTCCTCGGCAAAGCTAATAGATAGAAATGACTTTCAAATGAGTTTGTTGCCTACACCATGCCTTTCTCCAACTGGAAGAAGTTGTGGATCCTCTCAGAAATCTCCAGACCCCCTAATCAAAGCGAAGGACCTACCAGCCCAGCAAGTGCCAGCTTCGCTAAATAAAATCTCCCTGAAAGAAATCTCAGGGGAAAGGCTGAGCTCGATTCCCGAAGCATCCGTAAGTGGTTCCATGTGGTTTATAGTACCGACAGTATGTCCTGCTGTGTTCCATTCTGTTCCACACACGTTTTTAGCAGTATCTATTTTTCATCATTTGAGTGATTAGTAATGTATTTTCTTTCCTATTCTGATGTGTTTTAGTTCAGTAACAGCAGCTGTTAAAGAGCACATCCCGAGGATAATAGAAAACCTCATGTTTGTAATGAGAAAGATAATTATGTAATTTTCATCTTAACAGTTATTTTTTTATTTCCTAGTTACTTCCCATAATTTTTAGTTATCACTGCCTGCAAATTATAAGTGACGATTTGATTTTTGAGCCAAAAGCTTGCCAGTAAAATTGACAGATTTTCAATAAAAATCTACATTAGGAGCCGTAAAAACATCATTATTCTATTCACTTTCTGGTCTCTCTGCAGCAGTTCCCCAAATAATAAATGATATGAGTGAAGGTTAACAGTAAAGCAGTGTCATCGAGTAAATCCCTTGGCTAGTTTGGTGGCTGTATTCATATCCGTCAAATTGATTTTTTCCTTCCGGTATTAGTACTTTTCTTCCTTCAATTCCCCTATAAGCTACACTTAGAAACTAGAGAACAAATGAGGCCATGCAGAATACATGACATGTGTATTCCATCTGTTTAAACATTAAAGATTTTCTTTATGTTTTATGTCCTAAATATTCTGTGGGTGTTACATTGTAAAGCTTTGGTTCAATTATGTTCTAAGCAAGTTAGAGTGTATTAATTGTTAGCTGGCACAGGTAATAGATATATTAATAATTATCATCAGCAAAATAAAAGTAGCTAATATTTTGTGAACACTTATCATGTGCCAGTCAATGTACTAAGCCCTTTTCCATGTAGTATTTCACATTCCTCACAGCAACCCTGCAAGATAAGACTGCCATTATTTGCATATCATTTTCAGATGAGGAAACTTATGAAACTTTAGCATAGTTATGCAGTTTTTTCAGGGACAGCAGCTAGTTAATTGAGGAGGGACAGCTTGAACCTAGATTCTGACTCTAGAACTATTTCCAGCCTGCTCTGCAGCATAAACATGGGTTAAGTCTTGTAAAACTGATAGCCTCTCTCAAGAACCATCTAAAGATAGAAATGAAATGTGTTCCTCTTTTTCTGTCATGTGCATGTGTGCGTGTGTGTGTGTGTGTGTGTGTGTGTGTGTGAGAGAGAGTGAGAAAATAGTAAATCACTTAATCTAGTGAAAATGTATTTGCTTTGTGGTGATTTAGGATGAAAGTTGTCAGTAAATCTTTCCATGTTTTTCACAGTTGTAAACTTTTCTTAAAACAAACAAACATTCTTGCTCTACCTAATTGTAATTTTTTTCCTTTGGTTGTGCTAATGAATTTGAATGTAGCTAGTATACTAGCCTATGGATTTATTCTATAGTACTGCTTCACATGACTGCAGCCAATACTGGGCTGCCAAAAGCAGAAACAAAGCCAGTCTTTGAGAAGCATTCCACTTAGTTACCCCTCTAATTTCTTGGTCACTTACCTTCTATTAGATAGAGTCTGTCATCCAGTATATCTAAAAGTTAATGATTTTCAAACTTCTTATTTTTTCTGTAGAAGTAGAACCAATGCAAAGATAAGTTTGGAAACTTCAGGCACAAATGAATTTGATGTACTCAACAAAGTACACTACCTAAAAAATAGTTCTCTCTGACAATACCAGGAAATAATAAAAGGAAGAAAGAGACCAAAGGTTGGAGGAAGAGCCAGGGACTTACTCTCACCTGTTATCTTCATTAAGAGGCTTTTCTGATAAGACAGTTCCCAGAAAACATTTGGATTATTTCAGGAGACCTTTTCTGTAACTACTCACTGTAGATTACAAAGTACAAGCCTGGTATATCTCTTCTTCCTCACAGGAACACTGTAAGAAATTAACATTCCATTTTACAGTTAAGGAGACTGACTCAGAGCACTCATTTCAAAGGGACGAAGAAGGGGAAGGAACTTTATCTGTGGTGAGGGGATAAAGGTATAAAAGCCTTGTTTCCCATATGTGCAGAGAAGTTTTCCTCAGTATCAGAACTCAGACAAATAAAATGTATCTCAGCCGGGTGTGGTGGCTCACACCTGTAGTCCCAGCACTTCCGGCAGCTAAGGCAGGAGGATCGCTGGAGCCCAAGAGTTGGAGACCAGTCTGGGCAATAAAGTGATACCTCTTCTCTACAAAAAAATAAAGAAAGAAAATTAGCTAGGCATAGTGGTGTGCACCTATAGTCCCAGCTACTTGGAAGGCTGAGGTAGGAGGAATTTTTGAGCCCAGAAGTTCAAGGCTGCACTGAGCCATGATCACAACACTGCACTCTAGCCTGGATGACAGGCAAGACTCTGTCTCAAAAAAAAAAAAAAGAAAGAAAAAAAAGTTGTATCTCTGACAAGCCATATGATCATTACCATCTATGGCGCACATTTGTGAATGTGATCATCTTAGTTTAATAGGACATAGAATAATTGAAGTCATAAGGCGGTCTGCCTCATTTCAAAGCAAATTTACAGTGAGAATGGAGTGTTCTTTTATGGACACCTTTTAGACACCAGCCTTTTCTCCACTTGGTATTTGCAGCTAAGAATCTATGAAAATTATCTATAGATAAGATAGGGCGCTGTATGCTTACTGACTCACAAGGGGATTTTTCCCCAGATCCCAGAGACCCATGGCCTGACTTTTTTAAAATAACTACTTTATTGAGATTGAATTCACACAACATAGAACTCATCCTATTAAAGTGTACAATTCACTGGTTTTTAGTATGTTCACAGAGTCATGCAGCCATCACCACTATCTAATTTTAGATCATTTTCATCATCCCAAAAGAAGCTCTATACCCAGTAGAAGTTACTCCCAATTACTCTTTCTCCCAAACTCTTGGTAACAACGAATTTATTTTTTGTCTCTTTGTATTTGCCTGTTCTGGACATTTCGTATAAATGGGATCATATAATATGTGGCCTTTTGTGTCCGACCTCTTTCATTTAGCATATTGTTTTCAAGGTTCATTCATGTTGCAGCACTTCATTCCTTCTTATACCTGAACCCATGGTATGGATAGGCCATGTTTATTTATTCATTTATCAGTTGCTGGACATTTGTGTTGTGTCTACTTTTTGGCAGTTATGAATGATGCTGTTATGATCATTTGTGTGCAAGTTTTCACATGGGTATATGTTTTCAATATCCTTGAGTATACTGAGTAGATTATAGGAGTAGAATTTCTGAGTCATATAGAATTCTGTGTCTAACTTTTGAGGAAATGCCGAACTTTCTCCAAAGTGGCTGCACTATTTTACATTTCAACTAGGAATGTGTGAGGGTTCCAGTGTCTCCATGTCCTAATCAATGCTTCTTGTCTACTTTTTACATTAAGGCCTTTCTAGTGGGTGTGCAGTGGTATCTCACTGTGATTTTGATATGCAGTTCCCTCGTGACTAATGATGTTAAGCATCTTCTCATGTGCTCATTGTCCATTTGCATATCTCTTTTGGAGAAATGCATATTCAAATCCTGTGCCTGTTTTTAAATTGGTTTGTCTTTTTATTGTACAGTTGTAGGAGTTCTTTATATTTATTTTAGATAAAGTCCCTTATCAGATATATAATGTGCAGATATTTTCTTTTATTCTGTGGGTTTTCTATGCATTTCTTTATGATGTCCTTTGAAGCACAGAAGTTTTAATTTTGATGAAGTCCAGTTTATCTCTTTTTCTTAGGTTGCTTGTGCACTTGGCATTGTAGCTGAGAAACAATTGCCTAATCCAAGGCCACAAAGATTTATTCCTATATTTTTTTCTAAGAGTTTTATAACTTTAGCTTTTAAGTTTAGTTCTATGATCTATTTTGATCTAATTTTTCATATAAGGTGTGAGGGGATGGGTCCACCTATTTTTTTTCTTTCTTTGCATATCCAGTTGTCCCAGAACCATTTTTTGAAATGACTATTTTTGCCTCCGTTGAATTGACCATGCGTGTAAGAGTTGTTTTTCTGGTCTCAATTCTATTCCATTCATCTATATATCTATTCCAATGCCAATACCACACAGTCTTGATTACTGCAACTCTGTAGTAAGCTTTGAAATCAAGAAATGTGAATCCTTCTACCTTGCTCTTCCTTTTCTTCATTGTTTTTGCCCTGATGGGTCCCTTGTGTTTCCACATGAATTTGAGGATCAGCTTGTCAATTTCTGTGAAAAAAGCAGCTGGGATTTTGGTAGGGATTGCACTGAATCTGTAGATCAGTTTGGGAAATATTGCCATCTTTTATTTCTAAGTATTTTATTATTTTTTATGCTATGGTGAATGGAATTTTTTTAAATTTTATTTTGATTTGTTCGTTGCTTGTGTATAGAAATACAATTGATTTTTGTATATTGATTTTGTATCTTGCAACCTTGGTGAATTTATTATTTTTAGTATTTTTTTTAATTTCCTATGGTACATCTATATGCAAGATCATGTCATTGCAAATCAAGGTAGGTTACTTCTTCCTTTCCAGTCTGGATGCCTGTTATTTCTTTTTTTCTTGCCTGATTGCCCCCACAAATGGATATACTTTGAATGGAAGTTTTTCTTTATTTCATGATAGTTAATATTTAATACTTTGACTATTGTAGCTCCAGTATTGAACTCTAAGACAGACATGGTAAGTTCAATCAGGCCTAGAAGTATACTATGAGTCGTGGTAAATGTACTTGATGCAAGAAGAAAATTTTGAGAATTATTATGGGACTAGAAGTCCTTCTAATAAATCTATGAATGCAGGTGTGAAATCATCTTTGCTGGCTAGCATTATAGTTCCTGTATTTAGAGCACTAACATGTTGATTTCTATCGCCTAAGCTATGTCCCTAAAATAAAGGCCCTCCAGATGAGGGAATACAGTTCTTTTGGCTCTACTTCTGGGTAAGTAGGAGCATCTCCTTTTCTACTGAGCACCTACCAGGCCAGATATTCTCCCAGGTGCTAG